TTTTTTGTGTGTGTGTGTGTGTGTGTGTGTTTCCAGACAGGATTTCTCTGTGGCTTTTGGAGGCTGTCCTGGAACTAGCTCTTGTAGACCAGGCTGGTCTCGAACTCACAGAGATCCACCTGCCTCTGCCTCCCGAGTGATGGGATTAAAGGCATGCGCCACCGACCCCTGGCTCTGCCTCTACTTTCATGTATCTGTTTGTCTGTGCCTCTTTCTGAGTCTCGAGAAGCCTAAACCTTAGGGGCATGGTGATGGCAGGGACTGCTGGAGCTTGTGGCGGCTTCAGACTCATGGGCACTCTGGCGTCCCTCTACAGCAGCTTCGGGTACAGTGGAGCAATGGCACGGGAACTGCATAGCTTACACTAGCCCCTGGAGTCCATGCTCAACCACCTGTGGCCTAGGAATCTCAACACGGATCTCTAACGTCAACGCCCGGTGCTGGCCAGAGCAGGAAAATCGCCTCTGTAACCTGCGGCCGTGTGATGTGGACATCCATTCACACATCAAGGTAAGTCGTAGCAAGGATAGGCGTCTTGGGCTGGCATAGGCGTGATGAGCGTGCATGGCTATAGCTGGCTTTGAGCCTGGCCACTGGACTTCTTGGGAGTCATTCCTAAGATGGAAATAATGAGGTCTGTCTGCAGGCCCCGGAGTAAATAATTTAGGATGATGTGACTGCTAGACTGATGGATGCTTTTGTAGTTCCCATCCTATCAGAAGCAAGGAGAACTCAGGAACCATGGAACGTGTTCTTTCAGTAGTGATTCCGAGGGATCTGCAGCACCTTTCATTCCCACGGCATCCCACACCCGCCTGCATGTGTGAAGACTGCTAGAACCGGAGACACGCGGGGTCAAATGCCCCTCTGCTGTTAGAATTTGCTGCTTTCGCCAGTCTCCTGCTCTCATTAAACTGCAGCCCCTTTCCCATGAGTATAACAGTGTCGGTAATCTCTGAATTCCTTCCAGGGCTGAGAGCCCAAGATGAGGGCAACATAGAGTCAAGGATCTTTCTGCTAAGCTGCAAAAGGCTGAGTCCAGCCCTAGGACTTAGGCCTGGTCTTCCTTGTCTAACTCAATCCCCCTCACTCACGCCTTAGTGCCGGTCCACCCGACATCACATCTAACAAAGCAAACGTCTCAGGGCTCATCCCCGGGGGTCTCCGGATACCGAGAGAAGGATGAGTAGGGAAGAGAATCCCTCTTCCCCCATCATCTCCGGGCACAGGGCTTGCCCCTTATCAAGACAGCATCTTGTCTTCGACGACAGACATACACTTTTCTTCCTTCTCTTCTTTTGTCCCTCTGCTATGACAACTCTGGGTGCCATCGGGTCCTCATGGAGTGTCTTCCAGTTGGAGGCAGGGGTGGGAAGGGCCTAACATGGGGAGAAGTAAGAAGTAGGGCCCAAATCTGGGCTAAGAAAATTTGTCACAAGGCTGTAGGCTGGTGAGCCCTCTCCTATCTCCATGAGCATCTGCCCTAGCTGGGTCGCCTCACCTGGATCAGTTACGTGCTCCACCCACGTTGGATGTGCTCTGCCCCTAGCTCTGATGTGGTGCTGATAATATACCATAAGAAATACTAGCTCAAGGCCTTTAGTAAGTACCCACTGTATGCCAGCTTCACAATTATATTAGCGAGATACAGAAAGACGCCCAAGTATCAAGGATCCCGAGGCCTCCTGGAAGGCTCTAATTGTATTTGAGTAATGTCAGTGCTGTTGAAAATGCTACATGAGAATAGTTTGTGTGTGTGTGTGTGTGTGTGTGTGTG